TTTTTTAAAATTGATTTCTTGTGGATGTACTTGATGGTGAGATTCACTGTGGGGAATTCATATATATATGTAGGAAAGTTGTGTCAGATCTGTTCCACTGTGTGCTTTTTCTATGCCCTTCCCTTCCCTTGAGAGAAAACATTCAACCTTTGGTTTTTTGAAATTGTTTTTTTTTTTTTCACTTAGTATGTTAGTCCCTAGATCCACTGGTAAATGTCATAAACTCATTCTTCTGTATGGCTGAGTAATATTCCACAATACTTCATTGTGTAGATATACCAGTTTTTCTTTATCCATAATCAGTTGAAGGGCACCTAGGTTGGTTCCATAGCTTAGCCTTGTGAATTGAGCTGCTAAAAAAATCGATGTGTCTGTATCACTGTAGTAGGCTGATTTTAAATCATTTGGATAGAGACTGGGGAGTGGGATAACTGGGTCAAATGGTGATTGTATTCCTAGTTTTTGCAGGGATCTCCATACTGTTTCCCAGTGTGGTTGCATCAGTTTGCAGTCCCACTAACAATGTATGAGACTACCAAGATTTACTGTTACTTGTATTTTTGATAATTGCCTTTCTGACTGGAGTGAGATGAAATCTTAGTGTAGTTTAAATTTTCATTTCTCTATCCGCTAGAGATGTCAACCRTTTTTTCATTTATTTGTTATTTTGAGAAGGGTCTGTTTAGTTTTTTGGTCCATTTATTGCTTGGGTTATTTACTTTTTGGGTGTGAAGTGTTTTTGAGTTCTTCGTATATCCTAGATGTTTACACCCTATCTGAGGTGCAGGTGGCAAAGATTTTCTTTCATTCTGTAGGCTCTCTCTTCACATTCTTACTATTTATGTTGCTGTGAAGAAGCTTTTTAGTTTAATTKATCCCATTTGTTGATTTTTGATTTTACTGATTGTGCTTTAGGAGTCTTGTTAAGAAAGTTGGTTGTTAGGCCAACATGTTGGAGTGTTGGGCTTACATTTTCTTCTGGCAGGTGCAGGGTTTCTGGTCTGATTCCCAGRTCTCTGATTTATTTTGAGATGAGTTTTGGGCAAGGCATTAAACTTCGTATAATAAATAGGGATTACTTTTGAAACAATGGAGTTTTATGCAGCCATAAAGAAGAAAGAATATATTTTAATTTCTGGTAAATGAWTGGAACTGGAAGATAAAATGCTAAATGAAATAAACCAGACTCAAGAAATCAAGAAGAAAACTTCCCTATTCTGACTCTGCAAACCTTTTCTTTTTTCCTTCTTTGGATATATATCCTCATAGATCTACAGTTGTGTGAGAAAATCCATATGTTTTCTAGGTTCCTTCCTGACTCTTGACTCCTGACTTCCAGTGAAGGGGACAGGATACCACTTGGCTGGGTCAAGATTCTGCCCTTTTGTTGCCTGGCTGACCATGATGAGACTGCCTTCCAAATAAATCTACTTTTATTCTTTTAGAACTTAATTATAGTTTGTGAAGTTGGTCATGGAAACCCAAGATGTCATGGGTTTACTAAAAAATCTCMTCCTCCTGTCTGTGGAAGTAATGTGTTGGCCATTTCTGGGGTTTGAATTTTCCACAATAGGGTAGAYTAAGAGGTTTTCCAGTTATTGAATGATTTCCTCCCTCTTCATACCATGATTACATATAAAATTCCCAGACATGCCTGACTGATTTTACAGAAGCTTCTCAGGTTTATATTTATGTCTGCTGGCCACTGGTCACCACCCAAGCCACTGGACCAGCTAGTGTCTTCACCTGCACATCCCTAGCCATTTCCTCTGAGAGATGTCCACCAGCACTAAGCAGACTGTCAATTGCCTTTGAAACTCAAAACAGTGCTTCAGCTAAGTATTAAAAAATGTCAAGTCACAAAGATGACTAATGTAACCAACAGTCTGGTGAAAGGAAGAAGGTAAGTCAGAAAATGTCAGCAGAGAAGATGTTTTCAGAGAAGGGAAGAAGAGGGAGGAGGTTCCATTTGTTCAATAGTCCAARGATRGTGGTGGTAATGAGAGTTGAACATGGAGTTCCAGTGCTTGTGCATGCGGAAGTCTGAGGCCAACAGCACCTGCCAAGACCTCGGAAATGTTTACCAACTGCACTGTCTAAGCTGGTAGCCACCAGCCACTGGAGACCCCTGAGTCCTGACAAGTGAGCTAGTCCTTGGGTGTGTTGTAAGTGTAAACCACTCAGCCAATTTCAGAGTTAATAAGAATCAAAGAACTGAAAACATCTCATTAATGATTTCTTTATATTAGTTACATCCTGAAATAATATTCAGAATATATTTTTAGGTAAATCAAATATATTATTGACTTAATTTCACCTATTTTTTTTT